ATGGGACACATAACTTAAACTCAGATACAATAGACATTTCACTTTCAATAAGATACACCAGAATGACCAAAATACCCCTGACTCGAGCATTCTAACAAAGAGCACCATGTAAGTAAGCCCACTACTAGGTGGATCTTAATGAGGAAATGTATAAATAACCCTCGAGATGAATGAAGTGGATCGAAGAGTTTTGCCTCTCATTTTCTTTTCTCTCTATATTTCCTCCTCTTCTTCTCTTTCTGATTTCAGGAGGCAGAGTGTCCCTTGAAGAGGACTCCTGCTGTCCTGCAGTGAGAAGATCTCATCGGAAGAACACCCCAACACAAATATATTTTTGAAGTCTCTAAAAAGCAGAATAACATATCTGCCACTTTTTAGACTTCAGACCTGAAAAATAGCTTTTTGACTTTTTAGACATCAAACTTCATTTTTACCAAACACCACCTTAGACTACAACTAAGGACATCAGATTGCCTTTACTTTTGTTTTGGATTAAGGTCCAGTTAACTTACCTATGATTTTTATTATCAACGGTTTTTCTTTCTATATTAATACCAACAGATCTGTTTTCTCTATATATCTGCAAGGACACATTTCTCATTCATTCTTCTCTTTTTACTTATGTTTAGGTTGACAAGGCAAAATATTAACGAATGAGAGTATTTGAAATCTGTTCTTGTGCCTAGGAGATGCTAGAATAAACAAAAGGAAAAGAGAGGAATGAAGTAATGATTTTGCATGAAAAGGCACTTGTTTCTTCTCATGCATGTTGCTAACACGCTACTTCTGTTAGTAGTTATTGGGGTATCAGATGTGTTCTTTCCAGCAAGTAGAATGTGGAGGCCACAAGGATGATATAAAAATAATTTTATTTATTTTATAAATGTTGTACATAACTCTTTATGATTGCTTCCTTCATTTACCAAAGTTAGGAGGTGGTTTCTAGAGTCTCTTTTGTGCTTTTATTATGTCTCATGTAAAAGGTTGTAAGATTCCAACAATTTGCTTTATATGTTGCAGGTGGAACCAATCCGTAACCTTTTTGCAGCTCTGTTTCTTTCTAGTATTGGAATGCTCATACATGTACAATTCTTATGGAGCCATGTGGATATACTGCTTGCATCTGTCATTCTAGTTGTTGTTGTTAAGACAGCTGTAGTTGCCATGGTGACCAAGGCCTTCGGATATAGTCTCAGGACATCATTCCATGTAAGTTACATAATGTTCTTAATGAAAATTTTGTTTACTTCATCCAAATAATCTCTAACTTTTGGTTGTTTATTTATTTTTTTCAATGTTTTTCAAAGGTTGGTGTTCTACTTGCTCAAATTGGAGAGTTTGCATTTGTTCTATTAAGCCGTGCCTCCAATCTCCATCTTATTGAGGTGATTGTTGATCTCTCTATTTATATGTATATGTATAGTAGAATTAATCTAGTTATAAAATATTGTGTGATAAGGAAAGGAAGGAAAAAGAAAAGAAAAGAAGAGAAGAGAAGAAGAGTTTGTCGAGAGAATGAGGTGTTATTTTTCTTCACACCTAGAAACTTGGTATTTGAACATAATGAAGAAATTACAAAAATGCCCATAACTAGGCACCCTAATACCAAAAACATATAAAAGGATAAAAATGCCCTTACACTCTCAGCACTCCCCCTCAATCTGATCGATACCGTGATTTATCATCATATACACCGTGTCCCAACCAACTATACTTGGCCAATGGTGATGGATTCCATGGTACCTTCAAATTCTCAGGTGTTAACCTAATGTGTCATGCTTATTGTAACAATTTCAATTACTGCTTGATGATCTCACTTATTTTGATTAAACTTGCATTTCACTTTTCCCAATTCCCAAAATTTCCATAGCATTGCTTCCCAGGTGCATGCCCATAGCAACTTTTTTTTTTTTTCTGTTGTGGTGGGCAATGGGGAGATAACGTCCACATGATAGGGTTTGTTGGTCCTAAAACGAGGAAGAGAATATTTCCATACTTCCCTGGTGCATGCCCATAAAAGGGAAGCCCAGTGCATGAAGCTCCCACCAATATACGCTGCCTTACCCCTGCACATACAGAGAGACTGTTTCCAAGATTTGAACTGTGGTCAGCCAAGTGACAATGGAGCAACCCAACCATTGCGCCAAGGCCCACCCGCGGTTGCATGCCCATAACATCTCCCTTTTCTTTTGTGGTGAGGAATGGGGAGAAATAGAGGATGAAATATTTCCATACTTACAAAATGAAGGGAAAAGATAAAGAAGAGATAGTATCCTCATAATTCCTCTTGCATAGGATGCACAAATGAGGTGAAAGAAACCATTTCTTTTTCTTTTATTGTCTATCTCACCTGTGCTAAATCTTGGTCAGGTTGGGTGTACCAGCATAGCCATAGCCACTAATTGCCTAGCCTTATTTTATTTTGCTCTTTTGGTCATTTTTGTTATTACCATTATTATGGTTATTCTTATTATATAATATATATAGAGTACTATTAACTCAAGTCTTGTGTTATTCAGGGGAAAATGTATCTTCTTCTTCTAGGAACAACAGCTCTCAGTCTGGTAAGCTTCTTTTATTTGGGATTACAGTTGGGTTTGTATTTTTGTTTTGAAGTTTTTCATGGTAAAACATGCTACAGGTAACAACTCCTGTTATGTTCAAATTGATGCCTGCTGTGATGCACCTGGGTGTTCTCTTGCACTGGTTTCCTTCAGAGAGCAGCACACAAAATGAGGTTAGTCCACTTAAGATCTCTCTCTCTCTCTCTAAAATGTAATAGTACCTACAAATAGAAACCCAAATAAAAGATTCCCATCTTGCCACTTAAACAGTAACTTCAAATAGAAATTCAGATGAAATGCCTTTCATAAGCATCTACCTACTTTAAAATGCAGCTGAAGAATGATGTGGAGAAATAGTGCAGTAATTTAGTTACTGTAGTTGCTGTTAGTTTTTATTATGTTTTTAGTTGCTGTTATATTGCTGTTAGAGTTACTTGGGTGACAGGGGTATTTATGTCTTTGTACTGTTTTTTGTATTAGAAACATATAAGTACTAATTGAGAGAGTGGACAGCAGGCCCACTAGCTGTGCCTTTCTTCTTCTATTCTTCTTCTCTCGCTTCTCCCTTGCTTTATTCTATTCTTTTTTTTTCTTTTCTTTCTTTTGTTTCTTGCTGAAACTACATCAGAACACAGGCCGACTGTGAACAGATCAGACAACTTGTATCAGAGCCAAGTTTAGGGACTGTTAGGGTTCTCATGTAGGGTTCTCCCAGCTGACTACATGAGGATAAATTAAAGCTGGAGTTTTCAGCTTGGTATGCGTGATTCTTGGAAGTTTTTGGAGAAGTCTGTTGCTGCCCAAGACCTGTGAAATCTTGGAGATCACCAACACCCAGGAAGAATCAGAGACTTGGGATCGGATAGAAGTTTAAGGGTTTTAACCTTGATTGGGAGTGGTGCTCAGGTTTTTCTGGGTAGAAAATACATTATTTCAGAGATCTACAGCTTGTAGAAAGTGATTGGATTCTTCTGGTAGGAGCGGCTGGATTTTCTGGTTTTCTCTAAGGCTGGTTCTAGGGTTTTTCTCTGAAAACAGAACAGTCTAAAGGTTCTAGCCTATCATGCTTATTTTTCTGGTATTGGTATTGATACTAGGTTGCTGAAAGATTATTTCAGGGCTGTAACTGTCACTGGGTTGCTGTACAGAAACCTTTTTCAGCCTCTTCCTTAGATACCCGTGAGTTTTGTGGAGTGATTATCATGGAGACAGTTGGAAAGGAAGCAAAGACATTTGAGGAAGGATCTATGAGGCCTGGAAATATGTCAGGCAATTCTTTTCAGATTACCACTGTTAAGTTTGAAGGCACAAATTACCTGGAATGGGCCAAATCAGCCATGATGGCTATTGGAGGCTATTGAAGGAAAGGGGAAGCTTGGATATATAACTGGAGATACAAAGCAACCAGCAAAGGAAGACCCAACTTATGCTACATGGGTTCAAGAAAATTATCTAGTTATGACTTGGCTGTGCAACTCTATGCAGCCTCATACCAATAGAAATTACTTGTGGGTGAAAACTGCTAAGGAAATTTGGGAGAATATGAAGGAAACTTACTCATAACCCTTGAATGTTGTTAGGGCCTATGAGCTGAAAAGTGAAGTGAACAATCTTAAACAGGGGGAGAAATCTATATCTGTTTATTTCTCTACCTTGGAATCCCTGTGACATGAAATTGATCACTTGGAAACCATTGAATGGGAAAGCCATAAGGGTGCAACAATATACAGGAAGTTGGTTGAGACAAATAGAGTGTTTGAATTTCTTGCTGGGCTGAATTTAGATTATGAACCCACCCATGGAATTAGCATTGGCAGTAGTGAAACCAAAGCCTATAGGTGATAAGGAAAGGGATATAAAAAAGGGAAGACAAGAAGGAGATAATTTGTGACCATTGTAAGAAGCCAAAGCACACTAGGGATACTTGTTAGAAGCTGTATCCTCGTCTTTTTCCAGCAAGACTCAAGAATAAGAAGGGGAATGCTAATGCAGCTGTCACTATTGATTGTGCATCTTCCACCATGAAATCCGCATCCCTAGATGCCTTAGCCACAGTTTGAGTTGCCTTAACTCAGTTAGAGAGTAAGGTTGGAGCTTCATGATCATCTCATCCATCAGCCACTACATCCACTGCTACTCCCACCTCGGCTTTTGCTCACTCAGGTACCAGGGCTACTGCCTATCATGCTTCAGCCACAAGTAACACTAGTCTTTTTTTGGTTTGTTGGATCAAAGTGCTTCAGACCATATGATTAGTTTACCTCTTAGTCCTTATCCTCTGGTAGAGATAAAGTTTCTATTGCTGATGGATCCCTTGTACCTATTTCTAGCAAGGGAGATATCAGAGTGTCTGATGCTATGTCTTTGTCCTCAGTCCTACATATTCCTAAACTTAGCACCAATTTGCCTTGAGTTAGTAGTCTTATAAAAAATCAGAATTTCTCAGTAACCTTTTTTCCTGATCGATGTGTCTTCCATGGTTTGGTGACAAAGAAGGTGATTGGGACTAGCTGTGAGACAAATGGAATCTACTTGCTAGAGCATCACCTGGGAGAAATAAAGAAGTTGGGAGGACTTTTGTTTCTTAATTTGTGAGTCAATTGGTTGGGTCATTTATCTTTTGGGTCTTTGAAGAGTCTTTTCCTACTTTGTTTGAGTCAGTCCAAGTGTCCAGTTTGAGTTGTGAGAGTTGTGAACTTGCAAAGTATTGAAGATCTACCTATTCTTTAAGTAATAAAAGAAGCAGTGTTCTTTTTGAAATTATTCATACTGATATTTGGGGGCCATATCACATTACTACAATGGGGGGGTACGGATTTTTCCTATTCATTGTTGATGATTACCTTCGATTTTCATGGGTTTACCTTATGCGTTCTCGAGATGAGGTGCCTACTCTAACCTGTGCATTCCACCAAATAATTTTGACCCATTTTGGCATCAGAATAAAAAATCTTAGATATGATAATGCCAAGGAGTAAACAAGACACCAGCTGGTGCAAGAGCAAACAAGTCAAAACTGGATTTTTTTAAAATTTATATATTCTTATATTGCTTCTAGTGAGGGTCATTTACATATCCTCTATAGTTATCCAGACTAAAAGTTTGAATTGTCTATGAAGAGGGGAAGGAAAAAAGAGCAGAAGTACCACTTATAGACTAGGATAAGGTGTGCAAGCCTAAAGAGGAAGGAGGTCTGGGTTTGGAACACTTGATAATGGTTATTATAGCACTAATGGGATCCAGGCATCACGAACACATGATGTTTTGAGAAGGGTATCAGGGAAATAGAATCCATCTATGGACTGATCTGTGGTGTGGTTAGAGAACCAGTGGAGACACTATAATCTGGTATCCCTCCAGAAAATTTTAAGTATTGGGAGGTAGAGAAGCTGGCTAATCTACTATATCTGCTACATTCAAGCCATCCCACACTAAATCATGAAGAAAGTCATATATGAAAATGGGACATATCTGAAACTTTCACAATGCTTGACTAAGGGGGACTTTCCCCCATAAGTCCATCTGGAATGCTCCTGTACCATCTTTGATCTAGTCTAACTCACGGTGTGGACATCTGTACTAGGCAGGTGTCTCACAAGAGACAAGCTGTTCAATAAAGGTATGGAGTCTGGACATCCCTCCAACAGCATGTGTTTTCTGTAATGAAGAATGGGAAATAGCATATCACCTATTTATTCATTGCCAATTCAGCTTGGCAGTATTTGCATTTTTTTTTTTAGATGGTAAATTTCAATTGGTATAGTCTGAGGAGAGTGTTGTAGTTACTGGTTATGTAGAAAGTTGAAGGGCCTGAATGAAAGAAGAAGAAGCCTATGGAGCATTGCATCTATCATCCTTTTCTAGTGTATAGTCACTTACTGTACATAGGCTATAATTGTAGATGTTTCACTACACATAAAAAATGTGTTACTTCATCTTAGGAAAGGAGCTTGATTCGTTTGGTCAAAGTTTAGTTGTATTTAAAAGGGGGGAGAACTGAAATGATTCTTAAGAGTACGACAATATCTTTAGGACAAGTTATCCAGAAGGCACATTATTTTGATGAGAGACAAAGGGGAAGGGGAAGAGGAAAATCTTAAGATGCACCTATCATCCTTTCCTAGTGTATAGTCACTTTTTTTACATGTGCTATACTTGTAGATGTTTCACTACACACAAAAATTGTGTTACTTCATCTAAGGAAAGGAGTTTTATTCGTTTGGCGAAAGTTTATTTGTATTTAAAATTTTCATTGTCATCGGTTAAGTGCAGGATATGTTTTCATATGATAGTGATTATTCTTTTATTTTTAGGGTCCATTTGGTTCCCTGGATTAGGTGCCTAGAATCGCAATAAAAAAGGTCCATTATGATTCCAGCCAATTTATTTGGTTGGAATGAGATTACCCCATATAATTGAATGGCAATTCTAGCCCACCGCCCCTTGAGAATGGGATTCCCATTCCAAGGCTTCTCAAAAAGTAAAGAACTCTTGACAAAAAACCCCCAAACCGTAACATTAATAAAATATTAGTACAATAATAAAATATTAATAAGGTAATAATAATAATATTGTAATAATGAAAAAACTAATTAAATATTTGTTAAAATGTAATAAAATAATAGTACTATAATAAAATATTAATATAATATCATTAAAGTAATAATAAATTAATAAGCTCATAAGAATAATAATAAAATAATAAGTTATTAATAAACTAGTAATAAAATATTACTAAAACAATAATAGTACTTGCAAATTTATCTTTTTATTTTTTTTGAAACCTACCTAGAACTATATTATATTATGTAATATAATATAATATAATATAATATAATATAATATATTATATTATAATTAAATATAATATATATTAACAGTTTTACATATATTCTGTAATATAATATGGTCGGGGTGGGTTGAGGGCCGAGGTCAAGGTGGGGTGGGCAAATACTATCCCTGCTTTGTCCCCGATCCCAAGAGTTTCAGGTTTCCCCAAAACCCACCCCAAACCCCGATCAATGGTAAAAAAACCTACCCCGATTGGGTTTAAGAGTCCACAAGGGAGTTAGCAGGATAAGAGATCCATGTAGCGTAAACACTGAGCCAGCTATCCATATGTCGAATTGTCTCTACTAAATGGATTAATTGTCCATTAGGACAAATATTAGGCAGCAGCACTCCATGGATTCTTGAACAACACTTCTAACATTCTTTCCATCTCTCATTGCTTATTTCATGTAAATGAATGATTAATTTACACATTGAATGTCATTTTTCTTACAAAAATGTTGTGAAGTAACAAAGGTAAGCTTTTAAAACTTGTTCAATTAAAATTCAATAAAATATGGAGTATTTTAATAGTTTATAGTTATACTTGTCCATAGGTCCACGAGTCCCCTTTTTTTTTTTTTTGCCTTGCCAAGTCAGACTGTTGAGCATGTGTTGGATTCTAATTCTTGTGTCTGTGTCCATGCAACACTGGGTATCTAGCTTCTCGTAATCTGGTGTCTGAGACTCCATGGTCCAATCACTATGATCTTGGAATCTCTAACAATCAGGTCTGTGAAATTTGATGAATTTGCTTACTTCAACGCTTGAAGTATTACAAGTAGTTCTGCCCTGATTGAATTGAGCAAGGTTTAGCTGAACGCTTTAGCTTAAGCAATGATAAGGTTCCACACCAGTATTGAATACTTGGGGCCCGCATCTTTTACAGTGGGGCCCATAAATTTAATACTGGCGTGGAACCTCACCATTGGTTCCACAGCCTGCTGAACAGCTAAAGCGTTCAGCTAATCCGAATTCGATTGAATTACCTACTTCCATTGGTCCTGACATAGCCAAAAGAACGTCTCCTCCATGATCATGAAACACACCCCCAATTTCTAACTCCGCTGGATTTCTGGTGCTGCAACCACCAAAATTCATTTTAGTTTTATTTTGAGGAGGGCGAATCCTAGGTGTATCCAATCTGTTTCTTTGTATTGGGGTGGCAGTCACCACTGACCCATCTTCTAATGAATCATTCATAGAGAAAACAAAAAATTCCTGCTTTGTCTTCACCCAATAATTTAATATGCCCTTGTTGTCTAATAATTAATATTTTTATACAAATAATTAGCTATCCACATTTCAAAAATCATTAAGATATCGTGCAACCGTGGCATAACAAGAAATGTAATTTGTAGTTTGGTTACTGAAACATCCTAGCAGTATCCTCATTATTTTTACAGTTGTCTTGAACACAGCAAGAATTTGTTTCATGGTTCATCCCATTGTCATAGAATAACATCTGTTGCCATTATTTCTTGACAAAATATCCTTACCTGCTGTTGAAGTTCTGTCCAAATACTGCATTCTGTGGCAATCTTAAGCAGAGGTAGAGCATGAATCCATCATCTTACGAGTGGGGGGAGGTTCCTATCTTACCATTCTTTCAAAACTTCTGTTGGTGGGGAGCCATGGGCTCCACCCTCCCCACAGTCTACCCCTGCCTACAATGCAAAATAGTCATAAACTGTGGTGGCATGTGCATCGGCCATCAATCAATCATAAGTAATTTAATTTAATGGTTATCTCACTGCTGTTTTTTAAAGGCATGCGCACACACACACACACACAGATGACCATTTCCATAGCCCTGTTATTATGCCATTTATACTTTGGTTACTGAAACATCCTGAGAATTCCCTCTGTATTTGCAGGAGAGAGCTAACCTGATTGAAGCACATAACAGACTACTATAATTTTCCACGTAATGCTGATGTGTGTGCTTGCACCTAAAGCAACCAGTATAACATGTAAAAATACATCTGACTTCTAAGCTTTAGGGCTTGCGCCGGGACCCAGATTGGAAGTCTTAAATGATAATTCAGAAGATTTAATTGCACAGAGGAGCTCGGCTTATTAGAAGTTCCTTGTAAAATTTCACTGTATCGCATATTCTTTTTCCCTGATGTTGTAAATATAAAAATAATAACAAACGATTAGTTGATCGTTTAACTGTTGAGGAATTTCGTCAATGACCCTGGGAATGACCCACACTATACATACAAACGTGATGTGAGAACTGAGAAATAATTGTCTTTTCACTTTTGTCCTTGCGAGCATATAGAACAAAAAAATGATAAATAATTGTCCCTCTCTCTCTCTCTCTCGACTCCTGATGATAGGTTGTCTCGTTATGTTGCATTTTTCCAATACATAGACGTAAGGAAGCTGGGCCATTCCATTGGCATTGCCGAATTGGTCATGAGTTGCTTGGTCCCACCTAGAGGGTTGCATTTTTTTTTTTTTGGGTATTACAATAGAGTTCTGATGCTTGAAACTTCGTGCTGCTCACCGTTACCTAGTGTGGGCTCTCAGGATGAAATATCTGGTTGTACTCGTTGGCGGTTTAATGTTGAAAGAGATCGGGTCCAACTCTAGTGACTCGTGACATAGCACAGAATACTTGTGAACTTAACAGATGGGGAGAATTTGGTGGCTTCATGAAAGCATTGTTTGCTCAGACTGTCTGGCATGTCAGATGATAAGGCAGTCAGACAGGTCTATTAATGGCCGAACTTCTACATTTATACCTGGTTGGTAATAGAAGAAGGTAAAATAGTAATGAATTACAAAAGAGGAAAATAGTAGATAGACTCATAGACTGATACATGAGGGCACTCTACAGTTTTTGCCTTCTCAGATAATTACTTTGTGAAAATAGCTGATATGTAATTATGTGACTAATTCAATCCTTGGACATGGATGGATGGACCATTCGGTGCAACGAGTGCACTCTTGGAGAGTTGGAGGTTGGTGCCTCACCCTCTCTCACAGTCTCACCACTTGGGGTACCCATGTGATCGTAGTAGTAGTTTAAGAGGAGTGATAACCAAAACTGAGACCCATCTACCGTGGACGTTCACGGTAAATCTAATCAGCAATTCAGCACCATTTCTGGGACACATGAAAGAGCTGTCTACCTGTCCCTTTGATGGGTTGGTCCGAGATGACAGTTGGATTTTGAGGGACCATGTTATGCAACTTGCAAGAAGTAAGCCCATTTTGGCAAAATAGTGGAGAATGTAACACCACACAAGCAAAGATGGTTTCAAGGCTATCATTGATTGCATGTAATAACTAACAAGAACTTTGTCCAAAATTATGAACAATGTTTACTTTAATGCCATATTTGCTTCCATTTGTTCTTACATAGTTCATAACTATGCATGCCCCACCAGATCTGCTCCTCACACGGGGCGCCTCACACTGACTTAACATGTACATTCTACCATGCATTGGGAACATCTCCCGTACTTATAAGTTATTATTCACGGGAGATGTTCCCAATGCACGATGGATGTGCCTATGAGGTGCCCATGTGTGAGGAGCAGATCCCGTTCCACTGCCTACATGGTTCATCTCCAACACCCCCTGTCAGGAACGAGATTTGCTCCTCACAAATGGGCACCTCACAGGCACATCCACCGTGCATTAAGAACATCTCCCGTGAATAATAACTAATAAGTACAGGAGATGTTCACAATGCATGGTAGGATGTGCGTGTGAGGCGCCCTGTGTTAGGAGCAGATCCGGTCTCCCCCCGCCATGTATGAGATGTGTGGTGTCAGATTGTGTTGGAATGTGTTATGATTCTGGGTAAAATGACTTAACCTCACAAAGGGTCTAAGTCGTTCTATATGAATAAATTTATCTTTTTCTTTTATAAAATTATATATGATACATATGTGTATTATCTAATAACATTCACACGTATAGGTTCAAAGTATCGATACACCCCTGTGTATCGGCAGGGGCGTAACGGTACTAAAAAATACCTGCTCAATGTTTTTTTTTAGTTTTTTGTTTTTAAAATTTGTTTTTTTAAAGATGTTTTTAATGGTTTTTTACTGAAATAAACGAGGGTCTCGATACACCTATATGATACGATACGCTCGATACGGGGTGTATCATATCGATACTTTGAACCTTATATATATATATATATATTAGATTTGAGTTCAGGCTTCAACACTCACTATTCAGACATGTGACATTCTCATTTTCTAGAAAAATAGACATGTGGCAATTCTGAGAAATTCCTACTAAAGCCCACAACTCACTATCAGAGTACAACCCCCCACCATTCAAACATGTGGCCTCCTCATTTTTCTGGAAAGTTAGGCATGTGGCATTTTCTAAGGAGTTGCTGCTAAAGCTCACAGCCCACTACCACCATTCAGACACGTGACATCCTATTAATTAAAGAAATAGGATTCAAAAAGTGGGTAGTTTCACTTCTATACATTCTCAATAGACATTTATTACCTTAACACATGTTTATCCATAGTCTATTAAATATAAATGGTGGGACCCATTAAAAAATTACCATAAACCCATGATTGTTTTTAAATGATTTTTTTTTTCAAAAAGAAAATACTTTATTAACTAGAAACTTGATTTAACTTTTAGGAAGCAACCTAATTTAACTTTTAAAAATAAATCACTCAAAATATATTTATTAGATAAATAATAAATACCAAATAAAGTGAGTTATTATTTACCAATAAGATCTCATTCAATATCTTAAATCAAATTAAAAATAACATAAATTAATAGTGGGTTTCAAATAAAATAGGTCAGAATAGATTGTCAATTACAATGATGCAAGACCCATATTAATTTTTTTTAATTTAATTTTTGATAACTAAATGGTAAGCTTCAAACTAATTTATACACACATTTAGTTAAAAAAATGAAATTGAGTCCCATTTTCGGTTCTCGTCACCTTTGAGAAGAGTTATTAATATTGTTAAAAAAAGTATTGTACTATACCAAAGAAAAATTGAAATACTGCTTATATAGGGGCAAAGGCGAGTGATTCAATACCCAAAAATAAAAGTAATGTAACTTATTCTTTGTTATAGTTGAATATTAATCCCTCTTAATCAAAACTAAAGAAATCGAAAGGACCAATGGATGTCAATGTGAAGCTCATTTGGATTTGGCTCTAGCTCTATTGTGATTATTGCTTGTTAGTTTGGATTTGGCTTCTTTTAATGTGAATCTCTTGGTGATAATGCTAGAAAAGACAAATGCTAATAAGGCAATTTGTCTTACTAGTTAGTCTGTTTATAGGTCTCACCATGTTTGGAAGGTTAAGTTTCACAGGAGATAAGCAAAACTTGTTATTTGCTCCACATCAATGTATGTTTATCAGTGGATTTGTCTTAATATTATTATTGTTGTTTGGAATTTTGGACATTATTATCTGGCTAACATGAGAATACGGTATAACTCTATAAACCAAAACCCAATTTTCCCAATTTCAAAATTAACAATTGTACCAAGCTTTCCCACTTCTATCTAAAATTCATACCACACAGTAGAACTCTGTGAATTGGTATTACATGGCTATCTCAGTTTTTGTTAATTTGTTTGGAGCTAGAATGGAAATTATATGATGAATTTAGGTGGATATTAGATCTAAAATAGAGAATTGATCTGAAGAAATAGGGTTATGCCAAACATCATTCTAATTTTTAGAATCAAGAATCAACATTCTATGCCAAACACCCACATATATAGATTCTTAGAATCAAGAAAACCTAGAACCAATTTTTTTTTTCTGGATGGATTATGAGGATGAGAATCACCTATTAAATGATTATCATACATCAACTTACGATTTAGGAAATAGGAATTAATTTATTAAATTACACTATAGATAGGACTTTTTTATGTTTAGACTGGACTTCAAGCTCAGGGTTGGGCTTTGGGTTTTATATAAGAGTCAAAATTGGGCTTAAGATCTAGGCCCGATGGTCAGGCTAGGCTCGGGTTCAGGCCTAAATATTTTCTGTTAACAAAGAGCCAAAGCTTATCCCAAACCTAGCCCAACCTGGCCCCTGAACTAGTTTATTTGAGATAAGGTTCGGGTGATGATGTTGATAAATGAAGATATAATTATAAATATGAGAAAAGGGAGGAAGATACAAGTTTATATTAGCTAAGAGAGAGAGAGAGAGAGAGAGAGAGAGAGAGAGAGATCTTGTTTTCATTTAGTTTTGAGAAGATTTGGGTGGGATGGGAAAGTGTAAAAATCTAACTTTCCATTGTTTGGTTTTATATGGGATGGTACGGGAAAGTGTAAAATGATCTTCCCGTGAGTCGAGTACGGGGTCAACAGAAGGGGGACCGAAATGGCATTGTTCATCTTCCTCCTTCATTTGAGATGAATAGAGGCGACGGCTACCCCCTTCATCTCCCACTTCTCCCACTCTCTTTCTCCTCTCTTCTTCTTCTTCTTCTTCTCGTTTCAACCTCTTTGTTTATTCCCGATTGCCATTGTAACTTGTACGGCCTTGAGGCCTTCTTTTTGAGACATATTCTTTTTTATTATTATTTTAATTAAATTTAATTCCACTAAATTCCTGAACCGATGGTTGATGATTTTATTCTTTGATAGTTTACTCCAAAAAACTGTTATGCGGAAACCAAAGAGCTCAATGTTTCCTTCTATTCTACTCGAACTCTTGGGTTTCAGTTTCAAACTTGCTTCGAAACATTTTTTCCACCTAAACTTTCGAATGATCTTCCTGTTGTTGAACGTTTTTGATGATGCACAATCCGACCGATCTTAGCTGTCAACGATCTTGCCTCTGAACTGGGTGGCAGGGACCTGAAACGGAGGGAGAAGAGAAGCTCCGGGGAGAACCCGGCGTAAGGGCTCCGAAGCTCAAGTTAGAGTCTTTCAA